CTCTGATATTATTGTTTTCTGTCTAATTTTTGATTCTGAGTTCATCCTTAGAGATTTACTGTGTGGTTTGTATGTACTCTGGCTTATTAAGATGTCCTTATTGAATTATTTCTGATTTGGATTTTGTCGCCTTACGTGTTCAGTCACTTCCATCATGTCCAACTCTGTGATCCAGTGGACCATAGCCCACCAGGCTCCTCTGTCTATGGGAGTCTCCAGGCAAGAATACTGGGATTGGTTGCCATTTCCTCCTCCAGGGAATCTTCCTGACCCAGGGATTGAACCTGAGTATCTTGTGTCTCTTGCATTGGCAGGCGGGTTCTTCACCACCAGCGCCACCTGGGAAGCCCAGTGAGAATGTGCACCTACAACCACTGCCTGCAGAGACTTTGGGTTCAGAGAGTCTCTTGGTGACTCTCCCATCCACAGCACAGCCTATTAGCCGGTTTATACGCACGTCTCTACACACACACCAGCAGGTGGAGTTTTTCACCTTGTTTCACAGGCAGAACAGCTCTTCCCGGTGTCAGATTTCTGCAGAGAGCTCATTTCTTTTCTGACCTGTTCGGGTGTTTGTGTATGTGGTGGTGGTCTCAGGTCTTCTATTCCCATGGACTTTTCTACCCTGACCCCTTATGCGAATATCCAGTTCTGATCCTTGAGGGCCATTTGATTTTAACTCATGATCATCACAATTCTACCTTGGAGTTTCTCTCCATTTACTAGCACCTGGAAATTTCTAGGTGGAACTTGTAAAGAGAAAGGCCAGGAAAATGATCTTTAGCTGGTAAATAAGTGGGTTTGAAAATTTAAAAATAAAACTAATCTCATTTCATTGCACTTCTGATATTACTTATTATATCAGATTTAACTTCACCTAGCTAATAGTCTCGGAGAAGGCAATGGCAACCCGCTCCAGTACTCTTGCCTGGAAAATCCTGTGGATGGAGGAGCCTGGTAGGCTGCAGTTCATGGGTTAGCTAAGAGTCGGGCATAACTGAGCAACTTCACTTTCACTTTTTACTTTCATGCATTGAAGAAGGTAATGGCAACCCACTCCAGTGTTCTTGCCTGGAGAATCCCAGGGACGGGGGAGCCTGGTGGGCTGCCGTCTATGAGGTGGCACAGAGTCGGACACGACTGAAGCGACTTAGCAGCAGCAGCTAATAGTCTACTAATTTGTAAGCTTTAAGTTTGCATAGCCATTTTTTATTTTTGGCTTTGTGGGATGGGTAACCTTAGCTCCCCAATCAAGGACTGAACCCATGACCCCTTCAGTGGAAGCATAAAGCCCTAACCACTGGACTGCCAAGAAATTCCCTAGATTATTTTTTTAAGTTGAACTTATTTGCTGTTTGGTTTCACAGAACCACATAATTTCCAGGTGGAAGGGTAGGTACCCTAGCGAAAGCATAATGTGGTAGAAAAGATAGGGCTGTAACATTCAGGCACATCAGAGTTCACACGCTGGCTTTAGGACTTACTGTTACCTGACCGTGGGTAATTTACTTGTCTCTCAACACTTTGGTTTCTCCATTAGAAAAGTGAATACAGTAATACTCATCTAATATTACTGCTAAGAGGCTTAAAAGTGATCATAGCAATTAATAGTAATTGAGTATTTATGATGTACTCAACACTTGGCCAGGTGCTTTGATGTATTATCTCTTTTAATGTATGAAATTTTTAGTCCAGTGCCTGACAGACTGCAAATGTTCAATACATGTAGCTGTTAGTCTCACATAAGTTACCTCATCCTAGCCAGGCTTTGACCCCATGACACCCTTCACCTCACTCCACCCTTACCGTTAGTCAATAAGCTTCTGCTTAAAGACAGAGCAGTCAGAATTCCAGCGTTGGAGTCAGACTCAGTGGATTCAAATCTGCCACTTTCTTGCTCTCTGACACTGGGCAAATATATCTGTGAAATGAGGAAAATAGTAGTTTCTTCCAGAGTAATTTTAAGGTAAATTTGGAAAAGACCCTGATGCTGGGAAAGATTGAAGGCAGAAGGAGAAGGGGGTGGCAGAGGATGAGATGGTTAGCATCACCAACTCAATGGACATGAATCTGAGCAAACTCCAGGAGATAGTGAAGGACAGGGAAGCCTGGCGTGCTGCAGTCCATGGGATCACGAAGAGTCAGACATGACTTAGCAACTGAACAACAATTTTGAGGCTCAAGTGAGTTAATGCATGCAAAGCACTTAGAATAGTGCCTGGTACATTGTAAATCCTCAGCCAGTATTTTTACTACTAGTGGAAATTTGTTATCACCTCGAACTTATTTTGTTTTGGAAGCGCTCATACTCACCCTCATTTTTACTCTTTTTTTTCGTCCATAATATGAAGGAACTATTCAGTCAGTAAATGAGAGCAGGGCATGAAGAAAGGATGAAACAGAGAAACCATGGTGTGATTCTATGCAAACTCAGTAGGTGATCTCTAAAGAAGGAAGCGTTGACTGGGATGACTTTGCACACAGTGAGACTCCAACAGTTGGGGTTATCACCTCAGAGGGTTACAAGCTAAGGAATGAATGTGTAGGGGCTTGATCCCACATGAGGACTCACAGAAACCACATTCGGAGATCAAGAAAAACTCAAAAGGACGGTTATAGCGAACTCTGGTCCAGTTGTGTCTTTCTGAAAGTGATCCTCTGCATTGCTGTTAAAGTGCTCTGAATGGATGTAGATGTGACCATACCTCTTTATATTTTAAAATAATGTGTACTCTACCAACCCTTCCCCTATTGATTTAACAAAGTCCTTCATGATCTGGCCTTTGTTGTTTCTTTCATGTCTCTATTGCATTATATGCCAATATATGTTTTTTGATTCATGCCTTTGTTCATGTGTATCCCTTTCCTGAAAGACAGTGTTTCTTTTCCTTTTTTTACTTTCTATCTCTTTAAAATATTTGGGAACTTTGAAAGCATCTATCTTAATCTATCTCTTCATTGAAGGGGAGGTGGAAAAATGGCAGTATATTAGATCAAGTTTGCACATTTTACTAGAATTGGTGAGCTGAAGCCTGAAGCAGATTGTGATAAAGATACATACCATATTCCCTAGAGTAACCAGTAAGAAAAAGCTCAAAAAATAGCTTAAAAATGAACAAATGAATTAAAATGGCACAGTGAAGAGTATTGGTTTAATGCAAAAGAAGGCAGTAAAGTTGGAACAAAGGAACAAAAATGACACAAGACATAAAGATACAAATAGGAAAATAGCAGGCATAAATCTAACCAAGCAAGTAAGCACATTAAATGTAAATGGATTAAGCACTTCAATTCAAAAGTAAAGATATAAAATAAAGAAATCAGATCCAACTACATACTGTCTATAAGACATACATTTTGGATTCATAGATTTAATAGATTGAAAGTAAAATGACACAAAAAGTGGCTTTAAGAAAATTGGGGTGGCTATAATATCAGAAAAAATATTTTGTCTGATAGACTTTAAGACCAAAATAAGTTACTGTAAGAGGAAAGTAGATATGCTATAATGATAAAATGATTAGTCCATCACGAAGATAATTATAAACATATATGCATTTAACAAGAGAGCTCCAAATATATGAAGAAAAAACTGAGAGAATTGAAGAAAGAAGAATAATTCAATAATATTAACTGGAGATTTTAATATCCTATTCTCAAAAACTAAAATAATTAGACAGAAAATCAAATCAGCAAGGTTAGAATCTTAAACGTTATCAACCAACTTGACCTAAGGGAAATCTATAGATTTCCATCAAACTGAAGTAAAATAATCCTTATAAATTTATTGAGACTTATTTTATACAACTCATTTAAAAAAGGCCAAACAAACCAACTAAAAATGAATAGAAGAATTGGTATACTTGGCAGTTACCTAGAAATTTAAACAAATTTCCCATATAATCCAACAATTCCACTCCTAGATATTACACAGAAAACTGAAAACCTTGGTTCATACAAAGACCAGCATGTGAATGTTCAGAGCAGCATTATTCACAACAGCCAAAGCGTGGAAACCGCCTGAAAACTCATCAGCTGGTGAATGAGTAAACATGGTGTGTTTATCTATATGATGGGGTACTGTTCAGCAGTGAGTAGTCTACTGATACATATTACAGCATGGCTGAGCCTCAGAAACATCATGCTATGTGAAAGAAACACAAAGACTGCCCATTGTATGATTCCATTTATGTGGAATGTTTAAGGAAGGCAAATTTACAGAGACAGAGCAGATCCATGATTGCCTAGGGCTGAGGATGGGGCTGGTATATATCAAACGGGACAAGGGAAATTTTTAGGGTGATGGTAATATTCTAAAACTGAATTGTGATTGTTGAAATATTTAGTACACTGACTAAAAATCATTAAATTGTACTGTTAAAAATGGGTGAATTTTGGACTTCCCTTGCAGTCCAGTGGTTAAGACTTCGTCTTCCAGTGCAGGGAGTATGGGTTCGATCCCTGGTAAGGGAGCTAAGATCCCATGGAAAAATAAAACATATAAAACAGAAGCAATATTATAACAAATTCAATAAAGACTTTAAAAGTGGTCCACATCAAAATAATTCTTCTTAAAAAATTAGAGAAAAAATTTTAAATGGATGAATTTATGTAAATTATACCCCAAAGTTGTTACATAATTACATAACTTGTTACTTTCTAGTATATTAGAAATAATATTGTCAATAATAATGATACTGAGCTCTTGCTAAGTGCCAGGCACTACTTTAAGCACTTTAGTTAGTCCTCACAACAATCTACGAAATAAATTTTATTATTCCACTTATACAGGCTTCCCTGGTGGCTCCGACGGTAAAGAATCAGCCTGCAGTCAGCAGACCCAGGTTCGATCCTCGGGGCCAGAAGATCTGCTGGAGAAGGGAGTGGCTACCCACTCCAGTGTTCTTGCCCGGAGAATCCCATGGACAGAGGAGTTCGGCGGGTTCTACTCCATGGGGTCACAAAGAGTGAGTCCTGGCTAAGCACATACCATGTTCCATTTATAAATGAAGAAACTGAGGCCCACGTAAGTAACTTGCCAAGGTCATGCAGCAAATAAATAGGCGAGCCGGGACTGAAATCTAAGCAACTTGTTCAAGTAGTGGTACTCTCATAAATCTACTAAGGCAAATCAAAATCTGATGGTTTTTAAAACTACTTATTTATTTATTTTTCTTTCTGGCTGTGCTGGGTCTTTGTTGCTGCGCGGGCTTTCCCCTAGTTGCGGTGAGCAGGGGTTATTTCTCGTTGTGGTGTGCAGGCTTCTCGCTGCACGGCTCCTCTTATTGCAGAGCGCAGACTCTGGGTGACTGGGCTTCCGTAGTTGTGGCTTCCTGAGCTCTGGAGCCCAGGCTCATAGCTGTGGTGCAGGGCTTCGGCTGCTCCGAGGCACGCGGGACCTTCCCGGACCAGGGAGTGAACTCGTGCCTGCTCCACTGGCAGCTGGGTTCCTTACCATGAGTCGCCAGGAAGCCCCTTGGTGATGTTTCTTAGGTTCTAGTGAAGCGGCATCGTTGTGAATCTCCCCTGAAGCTGAAAAATATGTAATACACCAAATTTGACAGTACGAAGCAGAGGGGGAAATGTTATTTTTCAATTTAGGATAACAGTAAAATTGTTTCATCAGATTTCAAGAGAAGAGATGAAGAATAGTTTCCATTTCCTCTTTCTTCTATCTGTATGGCAGGAGGCAATACACATTGAACAGTTAGTGGGATTTAGAACTGAAGTAACTGAGATTTGATCTCTGATTCTACTACTTAAGTTAAACAGCATGGAGCCTCATTTTTATTATATATAAAGGTAGGTTTAAATGCCTACACTTCAGGATTGTATGTATTAAATACAGTCTGATTTAATGTGCATGAAATCTTAGCATGTCTTGCTTGCAGTAGATACTAAACAAGTGGGAGCTTTCTTCAGTCATCAGAATCAGGTGTCTTTTCATGCATTAGGACCAGTCCTGACTTTTAGAGAAGGTCTGGGCAATCAATTCTCTAGGACTTCTTAACAAGATTAAACCTGAAGGAGAATGAAGAGCAATTTAGAACTTACTGATGGTTTGCTTGCTTTCTTGATTTATGTGTCCCCTAGATTAGTCTATTAAAATATAGAATTAAGACATAGTTCTTCCTTGTGTGGCAATCTTACCTAGAACTCTTACTTCAATCATTTTTTCCCCATTCTGGACTCTAACTAGATTCTAGCCCTGGCCTCTGAGTGGTACTATTTCACTGTGAGCTCCATGTACCTTGGAGAAATATGATCAGCACCTCCTCCAAAGTGTGGCTACTATCAGAATGCCCCATCAGAGTTCTAATGGGAAGAAGAAAAATGGCTCAGAAGAGGTCTTGTTCCCTCGCCCAGGTGAGTTCTGTGGGTGCGAGAGATTACTTGATATCCTGTTGAACAACTCTCTGGGGAACCCAAGGCCCTGGTCACACAAGTTACTGAGAACCTTTCTAGTATATATATGAGAAAATTTTTTTTTATCAGTGGCCACTGACCTGAGTGAATCTAGGGGGAAGAAAACATTTATTAAGGTATAAATATTTTATAGCATATTTTTCCTTAAAGATAGAAATAGAAAACGTTAAACTCACCGCCTCAGTGGACATGAATCTGAGCAAACTCCAGGAGACAGTGAAGAACAAAGGAGCCTGACGTCTGCAGTCCAGTCTGCGGGGTCACAGAGTCGGACAGGACTTTGAGACCGAATAACAAAAGCTCTAGTTAGTGAAAGATTTTGTCCACTAGGTGTTGCTGTTGCGCTTGAAAGATAAAACGGTCTATAACACTAAAGTTTTTGTTTTTGTTTCTGTTTGGTCTTAAAAGGCCTATTTCCTTCTTTTTTTTTTTTCAAGCATTAGTAGATACCACCGGACGACCCAGACTAATTTGATCTCAGGATAATTTCCTTATAAGGGAAATCAGGAACGAGTTTCTTGCACAGAATTTAGGACTTGTCCGGAAGGTCTGGAAGCATCCAGCGTCTGCTGAGGGATGACAGTTTTCAAAGCCCCATCTAGGAAAGAACTTTTAACTTTCCTGTTAGCCTGTTCGTTTGGGGCAAAAGTTTATTTTGACGAGCCCCTTCATTTCTCATGACCTGTGTTGTGTATGCAACCCAGGGCAGGCTTTCTTCTGATGATAGAATTCAGAAGTCGGACCATCGCTCCCATATTCTTTCTTTCTTTTGCATCCCCACGTCTTTTATGGTCTAAGTGCTCAAAGCATAAAGTACAGTCATATTTCCATTTTTAAATCAAAACCCTAGGGACTTCCCTGGTGGTCCAGTGGCTGAGACTCCACACCCCCAGTGCAGGGGCCCAGGTTCAATCTCTAGTCGGAGAACCAGTTCCTGCATGCTGCAACTAAGGCCTGGCACAGCCAAATAAATTTTAAAAAAATTCTTAAGATAATAAAAACAATTGTAACACTAAACATTTCTCTGATCAGGATTTACAAAGATGATTCAGATTTTTTCTTCATTTTTCTTTCCCTGTTGTGTTTATTAACAAAACAGAAACAAAAATCTTAATAGCATATGGTTTTTGAGCTCATGAATGTTTCCTTATCTCTGAAGTTGTACTCAAATACAACAGATGGACTCACGGTAGGATATGACATATGCTGCACAGGGAGAAAAGAGTCAAAGGCTATTAACACTTCCAAAACAAAGAAAGAAAGGAAGAACTAAAGAGAGAAAGAGACAACAGTGATAATTCTTGATTGGTGCTGTCTGGTACCTTGTGGCTTATTAAAATGTTTTGAGGAGAAAGTTAAGCTCCTGAAAAGGAGCCATTCATCTATGTAAGTGTCACTTTAACTGTCTTTTAGTTTAAGAACTTCTATACTTGCTGTTGTACAATTTCAGTATAAATGAAGAGTGATGGGAAAGTGACTTTAGAACTTCAATCAAAATTATTTTCCAGCTGCAGAAGATTGAGGAGGTAGAAGTTTAGGAAGATATTCTCTGTGACTAGTCTTTCCTTTGCCAATTTCTTCCTACCCCAAGAATGATTCAAATTAATGAGTTAGGTTAACATTGTTTGATTTTTTGAAGTCAGTTTTTGTTTCATAAAGTTCTATAATTTTTACATCATGTGAATTAAATGACATGACTTACTGTCTGTATTCTGAGATGAGTACTGTAAAGTACTGTATTGAATACTTTACAGTTAGACCTGAGTTTAAGTCTCAGCTTTTTCACTTATTGGTTACGTTATCTTGGACACACATTATTTTTATTTGTTTGTTTGTTTGTTTGTTTTGGTCACACCACACAGCTTGCAGGATCTTAGTTCCCCAACCAAACAGACTATAACTTGCTTTATTGTGATTATTTGCTCTAATGCAATATTTGTTTTATGGTGGTGGTCCAAAACTGAACTCATGACATCTCTGAGATGCTCCTGTATCTGTTTGAGTCTCTGGTTTCAATTCTTTTGGATATATATTTCATAGGAGTGGAATTCCTGGGTCATGTATGGTTTTGTGTTTAAACTTCTGAAAAACTGACCACATTGTTTTTCACTCTGACTTTTTTTTTGTTTTTTTAAAATATGTATTTATTTGGCTGTGCCAAATGTTAGTTGCAGCACATGGGATCTTTGATCTTTGTTGTAGCATGTGAGATCTTTAGTTGGGGCATTTGAACTCTTAGTTACAACATGTAGGATTTAGTTCCCTGACCAGGGACTGAACATAGGCCCCCTGCATTGGTAGTGTGGACCACCAGGGAAGTCCCTCCCTTTAACTTTTTAATCTAGTTTCTATAATTTAAAATTTGACACATGATCAAAATGCATTAATTGAAAATAAACAATGAAATATAGCACCCTGAGATATTCTGTATTCATTATATATATATGTAATATTAATCTAAAAATGCACTTGTTTAGAAACATTTTCACAATGGTGGAGTAAGAACCTATGAAAATCTGCTCATTTGCAAAAGCAAGAGATTATGTTAGTGTGAGTGTTAGTCGATCAGTTGTGTCCAACTCTTTGTGACTCCAGGGACTGTAGCCTGCCAGATTCCTCTGTCCATGGAATTCACCAGGCAAGAATACTGGAGTGGGTTGTCATTTTCTTCTCCAGGGAATCTTCCCAACTCAGGGATCGAACCCCGGTCTCCTGCATTGCAGGTAGATTCTTTACCATCTGAACTAGCAGGGAAGCCCCAAAGCAAGAGAACAATCACCAAAAATGGTTAAAATCAACTTATTCAGAACTCTAGAAATGAATGAAAGGGTTGCAATATTCTAGGATTATTTATTCAAGAAAAATGGCTAAATATCAGTAAGAACAGTGAGCTTTGTGGCTCTTAACGTGCCCTATTGCTATGCCTCTCTCCTATGCAGTTCCAGGATAGTCTTAGAAACCATTGGCTTCACAGCTATGATAGATGTGAAAATCAGAAGCCTGGTAGCCACGGTGGAGAGGAACAGAATGGATTCGACACTCCTACTCTTTCCATCCCCAGATAATTGTCACTATTTGACCTTTTAGCTCCTTGAAAAGGTCTGTTATCAAAGTTAGTCTTTATTTGACCTGCATCAGAACTTACTCTGTGTGAATAGCCTTGTTATTATAGGATATTTGCCAAAAACAAGTCGTGTCAGTTGTTTACCACTGCGGGTGCATGAGGCAATTATATTAGTTGGAGGTACTAAGACCCCGACCAAAAAAATTAAAAGGAAAAAATATAGAATGAGATGTCTATGTTACAGAGGTTCAGCATATTCCAGGGAATCTAGAAAGTCCTGTGCAGTTGCAGTGCTCTGCTCATGTTCAAGAAAGAGCTGAGAAAGCCATAATTTCTCACCTCTGACTGACCTTGAGGCTCTGCACAAGAAAATGAAGATGAAGGCATAGTAGTAAGCTACCTGCTTACAGCATTGAAAACATATCCCAAAGCATGCACAGAGTGGTATTTAAACTGAAATTTATAACTTTATACATCTGTACTAAAGTAGAAGAAAGAATTTAAATCAATAAATTAACCATACACTATAGCAAACTAAAAAAGAAGAGCAAGCCGAAACTAAAGCAAGCAAAAGGAAGGAAACAAAAAGATAAGAGTGGAAATAAATGAGATAGAGAATAAAAAATATATAAAAAACCCAACAAAGCTAAAAGCTGGTTTCTTGAAAAGATGAACAAAATTGACAAACTTTTAAGTAGCTGACAAAGCAAAAAAGAGAGAAGACTCAAATTACTAAAATCATAAGTGAAAAGGAAATGTCACTACTGACCTTGCAGATAAAAGGATTATGGGGATTCTGTGAAGAGTAGTATGCTAGCAAATTGAAATAGACAAATTCCTAGAAGGACAAAGCTACCAAATGGACTCTAGAAGGAACAGAAAATTTGGATAGGCAACAATTGGAGAGATTGAATTATTAACCAAAAATCTTCCCAGAAATGAAGATCCATGCCCTAACGTCTTCACTGCTGAATTCTACCAAACCTCTAAAGAATTAATAGCTATCCTTCACAAACTGTTCCAAAAAAGTAACAGAGACAGGAATGCTTTCTTTCTAACTCATTCTGTGAAGCCTGTATGACTGATACCAAGACCAAACAAAGACACCACAAGGAAAGAAAACTACAAACCAATATTTTATGAATATTCTAAAATATTTCATAAATATTTTTGCATCATTAGGAAAATTGATGCAAACATTTTCAAGAAAATACCAACATATCAAATTTCATGATCTGTTTATATAAAAAAGTTTATGCACCACAACTACATGGAATTTATCCCAGGAAGGCAAGATTGATCTAACCTACAAAAACATCAGTGTAATAAAACACATTAATAGAAGAAAGGATAAAAACACATGATCATGTCAGTAGATACAGAAGATAATTTGACAGAATCCAATATCCATTCCTGAAAAATCTCTCAGCAAATTAGGAAAAAGAGGAAACTTTCTCAACTGGATAAGGGACACTGGTGAAGAAGACTACTGCTAACACATACTCAGTGGTGAAAAACTAAATGATTTCCCTCAAGTATCAGGAACAAGACATGGATATCTGCTCTCATTACATTTTCTATCCAGCACTGCCCTGCAGTTTCTATCTAGAGCAATATGACTTTTTCTAAAAAAGCTTCAAGATTGGAAAGGAAGAAATTAAACTATTTAATGTAGGCGACATGATCTTTTATGTAGAAGATTCCATTATATCTACAAAAAGTACTAGAACTAATAAATGTGTTTAGCAAAGTTGCAGCATAAAAAATTAATATACAACACTCAAATGCATTTCTATATGTTACCAATGAAAAATCAGGGAATACAAATTGAAAATACCATTCTCAATGGCATCAAAAAGAATAAGATACTTGAAATAAATATAACCCCCCAAAACGGCAAGACATACAATGGAAACTACAAAAGGTCGTTGAGAGAAATCAAAGACCAAGATAAATGGAAAGACATCTTGGATTCATAGAGTTCTTCATATTGTTAAGATGGCAATACTTTTCAAATTGATGTATATATTCAATGCAATCTCAATCAAAAGTTCAGCTGCCATTTTTTGTAGAATGGTGCACGTTGATCCTAAAGTTCATATGGAAGTACAAGAGGCCAAAAATATCCAAAACAATCTTGACAAAGAATAACAAAGTTGGAGGACTCACATTCCCCAATCTCAAAACTTACAAAATGCTATCGTAACCAAAGTAGTGTGGACCTGGTGTAAGGATAGACTTATAGATGAGTGAAATAGCTATTAGAATCCAGAAATAAATTCTCACATTTATGTCAATTGAGTTTTGACAAGAATGTCAAGAAAGTTCCATAGGAAAGCAATAGTATTTTCCATGAATGGTTCTGGGATAATGGGATAGCCACATATAAAAAAGTAAAGTTGAACTTCTACCATCCACAAAACTAAAGTTGAATCTGACACCATTTATAAAAATTAATCAAAAAAGAATCATCAACTTAAGTGTTTTAAATGTTAAAGCAATAAAGAAACTCTTTTTGAAGGAAAAAAAAATAAACTTAGAAAAAAACCTAGATGAATATCTTTTTGACTCTGAGTTAAGCTATATTTTCTTAGCTATGATACCAAAAAGAGTAAACTATAAAAGAAAACAATAGATAACTGAACCTCATCAAAATTTAAAACTTGTGAACACCAAAGAACTTCATCAAGAAAGTGAAAAGACAGCCCATGGAATGAGAGAAAATATTTGCAAGTTATATATTTAATAATTATCTAGTATCCAGAATATATGAAGAACTATTACAACTCAACAACAGCAACAACAAAGAGACAACCCAGTCAAGAAGCTGGAAAAAGATTTAAATAGTCGTGACTTAAATAACCAGTAAATCCTTCCCCCCCCCCCCCCAAAAATAACCAGTAAGCACATGGAAGGATGCTCGATATCATTAATCATTAGAGTAATGCAAACCAAAACCATAGTTAGATACCACTTCACACAAGGTGGCTATAATCAAAAAGATAGATAATAAGTACTGGTTAGGATATGTACAAGTTAAACACTCATCCATTGCTGGTGGGAATGTTAAATGGTGCAGCCACTTTGAAAAACAGTTTGGCAGTTCCCCAAATGGTTACACGCAGAGTTACCACATGATCCACTAGTCCTAGGCATACACCCAAGAAACACATGTTCACAGAAAAAATTCCAAAATTTCATAGCAGCATTATTTGTAATAGCCAGAAAGTAGGAAAAACCCCAAGTGCCCATCAACAAATGAATACAGTATATCTATGGAATATTATTTGGATATAAAAAGGAATGGAATGCTGATACACGCTACAAAAACATGCTACGAGAAGGAAGTCAGTCACAAAGCATTACACATTGTATGATTTCATTTCTGTGAAATGTCCAGATGAGGAAAATTTATAAAGACAGAAAGTAGATTAGTGGTTGCCTAGGCCTGAATTTGGTGGTACTTATGAGGTTGTGGGCTGATGGCTAAAGGGTATAAAGTTTCTTTTTGAGGTAAAAAAAAAAAAGCCTAAAATGGATTATGATGATACATGCACAACTCTGTGAATATACTAAAAGTCATTGAATTGCACACAGACGAAAAGTTTATCAGAACATTTTAACATTTCCCATATCTCCTCATTATTTTTCCCCATCTGTCTGGGGAACTTAAATCACTTCTTATATTCAAGTTATTTTTACCTTTAAATAAGTATTTTCTAAGACTTGCTAATAATATATTCTTTGTTTTGTAGTTATTCATAATAATTATTGCAATATAATTTTATGATTAAACGAATTTTTAATTCTTAGCAACCATCCTTCGATACAGTCATCTCTCCTCTTTTTGAACCTCTATTTTGACTACTGTCTTGGCTGACCAGAATTTTACTTGAGTATTTTTTCAGGAAGGGTTATGGGTAGTCCTTGGCTATCTAACTCCGTCTGTTATCTTCACATATGAAGTGACATACTGACTAAGTATAATAGTCATGAGACTCAATCTCTTTCAAGTACAAAGACATTTCACTGCTTTCTAGTATGTAATGTCATAGAAAAAATGTCTGAGCCTAGTTTGATTATTTTTGTTACTGGCATTTGCACTTGATTTTTTAATTTAGTTTTAGGCATGTATGATTTTTTTTCTCTATTGAAGTTCAAGATTTTCTCCAGCATGTGTCTAAATATTGATCTATTTTTGTCAACTCTTTTCTTAAAACACATACTTCCCATTGACTTATGCAAGTAGAGAATGTTAGAATATACTACTCATTTTCCTAAAAACCTTAATGACTATTGAAGTCATTAAGATAATATGCATTATTTTAAAAACTAATTAGAAAATAGTTTTTTTGGAAATTTTCAGTATTTAAGAAACCACATTTTATGGGCATCACGTTCATATTATTTTATTCTTATACCTCATAAAGGTTGTTATTTTTATTTATAATAACCTGTCAATGGCAAAGAGATTTATGAATAAATGTTCAAAATAAACATCATGAAATAAGAAGAAAACAAATCTACCAAATTATGAGTTTCAAGTTAATCAAATATTCTTTGCTCTGAGCTGTCAAGATAAAGCTTTCTCAGTTTTCAACTAAAAGGAAGAGGAGCAAAGTAGGGAGGGAAGAAGGATGGAAAATAAGAAGCCAAAGAGAAAGAGAGGCAGAGAAAAAACATAAAAATCACCAGACGAACAAAATAGACCAAAGATTCAGAACAAAGGAGACACACACACCCCAAGAAAGAGGAGAACGATTTTAAGTTATAAGGACTCAGTAGAGGAGAAAATTACAATGGAGGTAGATTTCGAAAAAAAGAATAAGAAGAAAAAATTAAGGAAACAAAAAACATAGTTCAGAGAAAGATTAATAGTAATTTTTAAATTGGTACAAAAATTTATTCTGTTTTCATTGTATTATGCAGTGAAATTCAAAATAGGTAATTGCTCATCAAATCAACTGGAAATTTTAATTAGCATGCTAACCATATTCCTACCTTGGTAATTTGTCTAATCCTGGAAGTTTGGAAAGTTCTCTTCTGAATCCAAAAGTCATAATAATCCACCAAGGAAAAACTATTTTAGATTGCAGCTAAGAAGTCAAGAACACAACTACCACAAGAAGAGTGTCAGATTTGGTGTATTCTCCATTTCTGCTTTACAGTATTTATTATCAAAGAAAAGAAATGACCAGAAGAAAACCATAATTATTAATATGTTAGCGTTTAGCAACTTAAAATTCACTAAAAGCAGGATAATCTCATTGGTTAATAATAATGCACATATTGTATCTATTTGAACTTCTGATTGAACAAAAGGAGAGAAAATAAAGGTAAACAGGCCTGTTGCTGTTGGAATTTAAGCTGTTTGAAATAAATATTAATTGAATTCTATATAGCTCTCCAGAGATAAGGCTTTAATGGTAATTCCACCCCCGCTCCCAACCTATGTTGAGACAGTAAAAAGTTCACATGTAGACTTTAAACATTAAAAGCACTAACAATTATGACAATCTGAAGATACAACATGGCATGAAATCCCAATGAGTAGAGTGTTTTATTTCATTTAGGTAAAAGTGAACAAATAAGTTTAGGCAATGCAGCTAGTTTGAAAACAAAGGGAAAATGATGTTTTATGGGTTCATTCAGTGTGTGAAAATTCACTGAACCATGTAGTTAGGATATGTTTTTTTGCATACTGTTAAGAAAAAGTTACCTCTGAATCAATTCATATGTCATAAAATGCTCTTTCATTAGTATTAAAATATTTAAATATCTACATGCATATTGTGTTCTACCAATATGAAAGGAGGTAGACTACGCAGATATGATCACAGTCTCCATGTACTTTTCTTTCTCAAATAGATAAGATGTGTGAAGACAGACGTATAACAGACCGACTGACACTCAATGAGCTGACCACTGATGGACAGCTGTATCACCTCTCTTTGTTTATAATAAAGTCCCAGCTAAGTGCCAGAACCTTTTCTTTAATAGTGTCTGTTTATTCTCTGTCCTTGAACCATTGTCCATAGATCGTTTAGAAGCTGTATCTGTCCAGCTTCTCAATTCCCTTTCCAAACCTCATCAAATTAATAACTCCTTATTAATGGTATACAATGTGCTTTGTACTCTTCCTTATTCCTTTAACTTAATGTTTCTAAAACTTCAGTCTTTCATTTACGATCATCACAGTTTTCACAATGTCATTGTACCAACTGGGCTGTTATTTTTAAAATAATTTTAAGTTGACTCTTATTCCTTTCATCATAATGCCTACTTTAACCTAGTCCTAAACTTTATTATCCATGGAATTGTTGATTTTTTAAAAATAGTGTGTCTGTGTATCATCAACTAAAATAATCATGTAAACCCCCAGTGGCATGCTAACCACACTTGAACAACCACAGCATTCTTGGAGTCAGCTTAGTTATCACCTGGTAAGAATGATAAATGTACCAACATAGGAGCTTGCCCTACAGAACATAAGCTGCTTTATCTCCTGTCTCAAAAGGTAGTCTTATTTTTTCGTAATCTCTAGTAAATAGACACATTCCAAGATGTGCACAACGAAGAATATTTGAGGAACTCTTCTGAATTTTAGTTTAACTTGCTGATTTGTTTCACAGATTAAAAAATCCCTTTCAGAAAAATCACCTGTGGATTTTTTTTTGTTTAAAATTCTTTAGATTGTTTAATTATAACTGGTTTACTCTGATAATAATGACACATAAATCACTGTCTCTTAATTCTTATCATATAGAATGGTGAAAATCAAAATCAGAACTTGTGGAATTTAAATAATAGGTAAAGGAAAAAATTGGACCTAGAGAAAAAATAAGGCTCTTTTTTCATTTATTCTGACTCTTTAGTGCATATTATATGCCTGCCATCTTTCTACATGCTGAAGATGCATCAATAAAGAATTTTTAATAGACAAAAATACCATGATCATACATACATAATAATTGTAATACAAAATTTTATAGAAAAGTTTTAAAGTACATGTTTAACTTTGAGATACTCCTACTGAGATATTCCTATCAGTGTTTTCTAGTATCTCATTTCTTATTATTCTCATTTTCAAAATCTCTAAATATTCTAATTACTATTTTAATTTATATTTATAATCTTTTTATTAAAAGTTATTTATTCTCAACATTTGCATATTATAAAAATTTTAAACATAAATGTTTAGACAATAACATAAGACTTTATTCTTCCATTTGTTCAGACTAAAAACATCAGTGTTACTGATTCCTTTCACTTTCAATGCCTCACCATTTTTGCAGTATCATCACACCAACTGTCATTATTTTAAAAAATATTTTAAAGTTAGCTCACTTTCCTTTCATCCTAATACCTCCTTGATTCCTATCCTTCACCAATACCCCTCAAATTAATGTGTTTCTTGTACCTTCAAAATATATCCCGAGTTCTACCACTTCTCGTCATTCCCAGTACCACAATCTTAGTCCAAGACATCATCGTCTATTACATAAGTTATTGCAGTAGCCTCGCAGTAGATCTGCCAGCTTCTGTTCTTACCCCTTTCCACCCCTCACATTCTATCTCAACGAGGCACCCAGAAAAATCCTGTTACAATGTGAGTCATATAATACTGTTCCTCTGCTCAAAGCACTACAATGAATTGTCATCTTACACTGAATAAAAGTCAGAATTCTTTTTCCTTTTCTTATTGAAGTATTGTTGAGGTACAGTATTATATGATACAGGTGTCTGATATAGTGATTAACAATTTTTAAGGGGGGTATGGGTTGAAGGAAGGATTTATTACTTGCAGCAAGTAAAGAGAACACCAGGGATCATTTCTCAAAATGTCTCCCAGAACTGCAAAATTGGGGAAGTCTTAAACTAAGGGTATCTGCATATTCATGAGGGGTGTTGGGCAGAGGAGAATTCAGCTTAGAATTGGGGCAAAGGTCAACAGAGTCCAAGCTTTAGTTGATTGAAGTCTGGAGGGTCAACATCATCATTCCCTCCTCCACCTGGGTGGGGGGCCTTAATTCCTGGTGTCAGGACTTGGCAGATGCTCAGGTTTTTGGTCTTGATGCAGAAAGAATTCAGTGAGAAACAAAGTGATGGGTAAGAAGTGGTTTTATTTAGAGGGGTACATATTCCATAGGGTTTCCCAGGTATCTCTTTCATAAAGAATCCGCTCGCCAAGCAGGAAACTCAGCTTCTCTCACTGGGTCAGGAAGATCCCCTGGAGAAGGAAGTGGCAACCCACTCTAGTACTCTTGCCTGGAAAACCCCATGGACAGAGGAGTCTGGCAGGCTGTAGTCCATGGGGTCACAAAAGAGTTGGACACGACTTAGCGACTAAACCACACAACACATTCCATAGACAGAATGAGGTTCATCTCTAAAGGTGAAAGTGGCCCTGAGAGAAACAGACTTCACAGGGAGGGCATGAGTCATCTCAGAAGACAAGAGGCCGTGATTCACAAGGTTATCCTCCACTTATAAAATATTGACTACTTTTCCTATGTTATACAATGTATCTTTGCAGTTTATTTTACACATATTAATAATAGTTTGTACCTCTTACTCTCCTACCCCCTATATTGCCCCTCCCCTTTTCCCTCTCACCACTGGCAACCACAAGTTTGTTCTCCATATCTGAGTCTGCTTCTTTTTGTTATTGTTGTTTTATTAATGTTTGTTGTATTTTTTAGATTCTACATATAAGTAGTATCATACAGTTTTTGTCTTTCTTTGGCTGGTTTATTTCACCTGGCATGATATCCTCCAAGTCCATCCATGTTGCTGCAAATGGAAAAATTTCATTCATTTTTATGACTGAGTAGTATGTCATTTTGTGTGTGTGTGTGTGTATCTCATATCTTCTTATCCACTCATCTGTTGATGGACACTTAGATTGTTTCAAATCTTGGCAGTTGTAAATTGTGCTTCTATGAACACTGAGGTTCATGAGTCTTTTCACATTTTATATATGTGTGTGTGTGTGTGTGTGTGAGTGTATATAGCTTATGTGTAGTATAAGTTGTATATTGTCACCCTGCTTATTTAACTTATATGCAGAGTACATTGTGCGAAATGTTGGGCTGGATGAAGCACAAGCTGGAATCAAGATTGCCAGGAGAAATATCAATAACCTCAGATATGCAGATGACACCACCATTATGGAAGAAAGTGAAGAACTATTTAGAGCCTCTTGATGAAAGTGAAAGAGGAGAGTGAAAAAATTGGCTTAAAACTCAACATTCAGAAAACTAAGATCATGGCATCTGGTCCCATCACTTCATGGGAAATAGATGGGGAAACAGTGGAAACAGTGACAGACTTTATTTTAGGGGGCTCCAAAATCACTGCAGATGGTGACTGAAATTAAAAGATGCTTGCTCCTTGGAAGAAAAACTATGACCAACCTAGACAGCATATTAAAAAGCAGAGACATTACTTTGATGATAAAGGTCTGTCTAGTCAAGGCTATGGTTTTTCCAGTAGTCATGTATGGATGTGAGAGTTGGACTATAAAGAAAGCTGGTCACCGAAGAAGTGATGCTTCTGAACTATGGTGTTGGGGAAGACTCTTAAGAGTCCCTTGGACTGCAAGGAAAGCCAACCAGTCCATCCTAAAGGAAATCAGTCCTGAATATTCATTGGAAAGACTGATGCTGAAGCTGAAACTCCAGTACTCTGGCCACCTGATGCAAAGAACTGACTCATTGGAAAAGACCCTGATGCTGGCAAAGATTGAAGGCAGGAGGAGAAGGGGATGACAGAGGATGAGATAGTTGGATGACATGACCCACTCGATGGACATGAGTTTGAACAAGCCCTGAGAGTTTGTAATGGACAGGGAAGCCTGGCATCCTTCTCTCCTTGGGGTTGCAAAGAGTCGGACATGACTGAGTGACTGAACTAAACTGAAGTGATCCAAGAATAGAATTTTGGAGTCATATAAGTAGCTCTACTTTTAGTTTTTTGAGAAACCTCCATACCATTTTTCACAGTGGCTGCACCAATTTACATTTACATTAGCAGTGTTTGAGGGTTCCCTTTTCTCACATCCTTGCCAACATTTGTTATTTGTGGTCTTTTTGATGGTACACATTCTGACAGGTGTGAAGTTTCACTGTGGTTTTGATTTGCGTTTCCCTGGTGGTTAGCAATGTTGAGCATATTTCATCTGCATTTCCTCTTTGGGAAAATGTCTATTGATTTCTTCCACCCATTTTAAAATCAGGTTGTTTTCAGAGTTCTTAATATTCTAAGAGTTTTCTATGTTTTTGTATGTAGTTACAGTAAAATCATTTTTCACTGCTAGGTGATAGTCTAAGAAAATAATTCATTTCATTAATGCATTCTTTCATTCATGGACATTTGGGGACCTTTCAGTAATGCCCACAGTAAGAAATGCTAAGAGAAATTCTTAAGGATGGAGGAAATGATATTAGATATAATTTCAGAAGTTTGGGAAGGATTGACTAACTCTTATTTATAGCTAACTGATTTTCAACAAGGGTGCCAAAAAAATCTGGTGGGGAAAACATGTTTTTTTTTTTCAATGAATGGTATTGGGACATTCAGATATTCATACGTAAAAGAATGAAACTGGACCCCTGTATCACACTATACATGAAAATTAACTCAAAATTGATCATTGACCTAAGTGTAAGAATTAAAACTATAACCTTGCTGGGAAGGAAAAAACCTAGATTGATACCTTCTTGGATTTAGGTTAGATGCTGGTTTCTTAATGAGATCCCCAAAACACAGTAGTAAAAGGAAAAAGGGTAAACCAGATTTCATCAAAATTAAAACCTTCTGTGCTTTAAAGGAAATCATCAAAAAAAATGTGAAAAGATAACACATAGAATCAGAGAGAAAATATTTGCAAATCAAATATCAGATTAGGGACTTTTATTCAGAATGATTAAAAAAATACAATTCAACAATTAAAGCACAAATACCTTAATTTTTAAA